ACAAAGCCGGCGTGTGGTGTGTCAGTGGTACCCCGGCAGCGTTTCACGTCGGCTTGGCTTGTCCCTTCTCTTTGGGCGCTGGCTTCGGAGGCTCTGTAAGCCTACACGGATCCTCCGGTAGCACCCGTTCCTGCAAGTTGAGTCCTCCTCTGTCTATTAATCCACCCTGATATGAGTCTTTTGGACATGTCTGTTCACCTCCCCGAGGCTTTGTCGCTAGAAACAAGACACGAGTCGCTTTCAGTTCTTGTGGGAGGTTTCTGTCTCTGCTGAAGCTGTAGAGAAACCTCCGTCCGCCTCTGGTGTCTCGGCTGCCGTCGTGGCCCTGAAGCGGGCTGTCCCTGGGCAGGCTGTCCCCCGTGGTGGGCTCTCAGCCTCCCCTGAAGCCAAATCTCGGGTTTGCTTCCTACCTGCAGGACAAATCGCAGACCGCTGGGGCTGGGAGGACTCGCTGGTGCGTGCCTTGGACCCTGGGTCCTGCTGTAAGCCAAAGGCTGTCGTGTAGTGCTACTTCTTACCTCCGACCTCTTCAAGGGTGCGTTTTCTGCACTCTTGTAGATGGTGGATAGGAGTTATATTTTTGTTAAAGCTAAAAGCGTTTTCTCTCACTGTGTAATCTAATTTCATACCTTGCTACGTGCCCTTGCAGTTGGGCATTATTCTGGCAACCTAGATGGGCTAATTTCTGAGAGATTTGTTAGCCTGGAAAGAAGCCGGCGGCATCCCGTCGAGGATGGGAGGTGACAAAGTGGCCGCAGTTCTCGGCACTGGAATGAGACCGCCTGGGTGAGGAGAAGATGATGATGGTGAAGAAATGTGGGAACGTGATGATGCCCTTTGGGCTGGGGGGTGTGTCACAGAATCACAGAATGGTCGGGGTTGGAAGGGCCCTCTGTGGGTCACCCAGTCCAACCCCCTGCTGAAGCAGGGTCACCCAGAGCAGGCTGCACAGCACCACATCCAGGCGGGTCTGGAATATCTCCAGAGAAGGAGACTCCACAGCCTCCCTGGGCAGCCTGGGCCAGGGCTCCGTCACCCTCACAGGGAAGAAGTTCTTCCTCATGTTCAGACGGAACTTCCTC